TAGTAGTAAACTCATTCTCGTGCAAAGTACCTACTTTTCCCAGTGTATTTAGGCTGCTATAATGTGATCATTTAAGTTCGATATAGTAAAATAAGTGGTTTATGTAAGCACTGACTAAATAACACATATTTCCTTTTTATCTGCTTATCTTGTATTTTTAACATACTAAAATGTTTTTCTCTTAAATGCACAATTACACATGATAGAGGGCACCAGGCATGACAGAAACTAATGCTGTTTGTCCGCCTGGAACATTTTGGCTTTATGAGATCAACCCCCTTTTATTTATTTCATTGTCTGTCATATTTTCCTTTGTTGCGATCTTTAACATTTTATTCCTTCTAAAGACATCCAGTGTACAACTTTGGCCTTTTATCAAGGAATCCAAAAGCTTGCTTCTGCAAAGTTCAGCTAGTAATTTTAAACCAAAAAAACAGTAATTTTAGACCAAAAGTTATTACTTTCTCACCTCTGTGGGGGATGGTATGATCAGTTAGAAAATGAGGTTCTAAGAAAGATGGTTTTGCCCAAGCTGGTGTTTTAAACAGATGAAGGTGGAAAGCTTTTCAGTTTCTCCAGAATTGTGTTTTCAGAGTAGTCAATTTGTTTTTGAAATGAAAGTTTGTGGAGTCCTAGCATAAGTTCAAATGTGCCTTGAGTTTAAATCCAGAGAGATTTAGAATGTCGCCAGAGTTCTCCTAGGTTAACCTAGAGAGTTAGCTGTACGAAGTTCATGTCTGCCTGACATCTTGGTGGAATTAACAAAGCCACCGACGTTCAGTGCTCCTTTATGTGACTTTCTGCCTATCCCATCTGTCACACAGTACCAATGTGGTTTAGCAGCTAGAGTTTTCAGGAGGCCTTCAACTTGTCCACTGAAATTCATGCTAAGAGTTAATGAAATATTTCCTTGTTGATCCAAGAGTTCTTACCCCTACCCTAGGGGAAATCAATAGGAAACTTACTCTGTCTTTAGTGATCAATAAAGAAGTACCCTTGTCTCAGAACTCTTTATATATGATAATAGAGTCACATGGTTCAAAAATCAAAGCAATGGCCAGGCACGGTGGCTCACGCCTGTAATCCCAGCACTTTGGGAGGCCAAGGCAGGAGGATCACTTGCACCCAGGAATTCAAGACCAGCCCGGGCAATATAAGGAGACCCTGTTTCTATAAAAAAATAGAAATTAACTGGGTGTAGTGGTGCACTCCTATAGTCCTAGCTACCTGAGAGGCTGAGGCAGGAGGATCGCTTGAGCCCATGAGTTCGAGGCTATGATTGTGCCACTGCTCTCCAGCCTGGGCAATGGAGTGAGACCCTGTCTCTTTAAAAACAACAACAACAAAATCTAAGCAATATAAAAATGTATATATCAAAAAAATCTTGCTTCTACCCTGTCCCCATCAATCCCATTCCCCCTACCTTCTATAGGTAACCACTTAGTAAGCAAATACAAATCTGTAACTTCTTCTTTTCTCCCTTTTCCCCACAAAATTTAACACATTTTATACACCATGACTTGTTGATGGTGGTTACTTTCTGCAGTCTTAATTATGGCAAATTTTTACTTTGGTTCTGTAATAATTTACAGAATGGTATAGCTATATCTATAGCTCCTAAATCGCCACCATATTTTGGAACAAAATATATTAGCATTTTTATTATTAATTCACATTTAACATGAATCATGATCCTAAAAGCATGAAAATGTGTTCATAACATCCTTCAAAGAGAGAACAGCATTGTGCTCTACAGCTGTGGCCCCTAAGCCCTGGGCCATGGCCCAGTACTGATCTGTGACCTGTTAGGAAAACGACCGCATATCACCGCCTGAGCTCTGCACCACCTCCCCTCAACCCTCCGTCCTTTTTAAAATTGTCTTCAATGAAATTGGTCCCTGATACCAAAAAGGTTGGGGACTGCTGCTTTACAGTGTGGCTCTTGCCCAGTTAATAGTTACACAGACTAGTGCTTTAGCCACTGTGGTGTCCTGGGTATACTTCATTCTTAAGTCATGTACTTAGTCTGCAGCAACCACCTGCAAATATGTGAACAGATCTTAAAGATAGCTGGTGAGATTTGGTTTCCTTGGTCCTCTGAAGTCTTTATGGTTGTTGCTTCTATTGTCTATTGGTCCCTCATGAACTATAGCTGACCTGATGTCTTCATGATCTATGACAATAGTTTTTAATTGAGGCAAAGTACTGGGAAGTCCCATACCACAGCAGACCTGCTTCTCTGATTAACATTTAGCACTCCATATCCCCAACCACCAGGCACGATGGTTGTGCCTTGATGCCTCCATGGTAATTAACACTAAAGAGTAGAAGCTGGGCTCTGACACTTTGGCACTTGTATAGGTCAAGGAGTGTGTTGTGTTCTTACAACAAATCCCACATATACATACATACTGTCCCACAAATATCCCCAAGCAGAAACCAGAGTTAGCTCTGGAGTAGTCCTAAGAAAATTTTGGTTGCTGGCCCTTAGATGTGTCTTTCTGGGGCTGGGATCTTGAAACCATCTGCTCCATTTCCCCGCTGCTGTGTTGTATCAGTTACTTCACCACATTGTCACTAAAAGCTTGGATTCCCTCAAATATTAACTTCACTGGGCCTGTGTTCTAGTGGGGGCTTTTGGACTTGACTTTAGCTTTTAGAAGATAGACCCCTTTCCCTTCTGTAATGCTGGGGTATTAGCAAATCAAGAACCCCTGAAGAGATAAGGGGCCAGGGCCTCAGCCTTCAAGAGGCTGAATCACTGGAGAGTGGTCTTGATGTCAAATCTTGGGCATTTCCACAGCATGTTCTCCCTCACCCCCTCCTGCCAGATATCTACATATGTTCTTGGAATAGGAAGGCTAGGAACTCCCTCAAACACATACCAAAAACCAGTTTGATGGAATTTTACCTAGAGGAGAGATGCTTTTTCTACAATTTGGACACCCTCCCAGGTCTCTCTCAGTCCCTGCGTTTCTCTTTTCCAACAGCAGACAATACTCTTGCAGTTTAAGTGATTTATTGATGTCTCAGCTAACCTTGCTACCCTTTCAGCCATCAAGATCTTTTAAGAAGGCCATTCCCTACCAGAGGAGCCAGGCTACTTCCTTGTGTCGGCCACGGTGTCATCAGCCTTCTTCCTTCTTCTTCAGCTCTTCCACTTTGGAAATATAGATCCTCATGGCGTCCATCTTGGACATCCCTTTGTTCTGGCTCCAAGCCTCCCACTTGGCCTTGGCTTTCACCTCTGAGGCAGGAGGGGCGGGGATGTCGCAGTCGCCCTGGGTGGCCTGTTTGTAGAAGCCGTACACCAGCAGTTTCTCCTGATCACTCAGGGGGCCCTTCAGCTGCTTGATAGCAGCGCAGGCCAACTCAAACTCCACTTGGCACATTGGAGTAATGGAGGCTGGGCCCCTCTGTCCTTTCTAGCTAATGCTTGGTGCTAGAAACCAGAGGGTGAAGAGTTAGAAACACTAGAGGCTGATTATTATTAGGTCTGTTAGAAGAGAAAAGGAGTGGCTTATTGAAGTACAGATTGCAAAGCAGGGGTCCAGTGGATTGGATCTGGTTGTCTCAGCTCGCACAGTGCATTTTTGTGGGGAGGACTACCCATCAATGTTCCAAAGGCGTCTATGATCCTGGAAAATTAAGGAGCGCTGCTGCCGTCCAAAGGAGGCAAGATGGCATGAGAGCGTTGAGGGCGATTGTAGGGGGTGGCGGGGTGCGGCTCAAAGCGTGAGACGCGAGACCCGCAGCGCGGGAGGAAGCGTCGGCGGGGGCGCGGCTGTGCTGGTTAGTGGGCAGCCCGGGGAAGGGCATTCAGTGTGGGTGAACTGTGTACGGGGCACACCCGGGGCTACGGGGCAGGGACTAATGGATAGGACAGACTGGGACCCAGGAGGCAGGCTCGGCAAGGGGACCGTACAGGTAGCTGGCCAGGCGGAGCGAGGCGCGTGGCGGGGAAGAGAGGATCAGTATCTGCCTGTTGGCTGGTGGGCGGCCTGGGGCCGAGAGGGGGCGCTGTGGGCTCGGCGGGCTGGTTCGTGGGGAGTGCGCGTGCGCACAGTGGCCGACGCTGAGACTGAGGGCGGGGCCTGATGCCGCACCGCCCCCGGTGCCGCCCATTGTGCCGTGCAGCCCGCGCCGAGCTCGCGGCTCGGAGAGGGAGGGGCGCCCCGCGCCGCCGCCCGCGTCGCCGCCATGGACCTAGGTGGGTGTCCCGACTCTCCTCCCCGGAGCCCGCGCGGGCGGCGCCCCGCAACGGTGCTGCCCGGCGCGTCCCCTCCACCCCCGTCTTGCGCGCCAGTGCGGCCCGGGGCTGAAGAAAACCTCCGGGGCGGGGAGGGCCTTTGGAGGGCCGGGGGTGTCTTCAGAGACCGCGGGTCGGGAGGCCGGGCTGCAGTCGGGGCCCCGCCGCTCGTTGGCCCATCTCTTGCCTGCACTTTCTGCGGAAAAAAACTGAGCGGACGTGAATTCAGATGCCCTGAAAGCGGTCGGAGTTAGTGCACGTGCTTTGGGAAATCCTGGGCCCAGAGCACGCCTGGGGGAATCTCAGATGCCCCCAGGTCTCATTTATGGACCGTCTGCTAAGTTCTCGAGCAAGTTTCTTAACCTCGTCAGGTTTCCTCATGGACAAAGCGGTGATGATGATGCTGTATCTTACTCAGTTTTGGGGAGTTTTCACTGAGATCACGTGTATACAATGTCCGGTACAGTGCCTTGCGCGTAGCAGCACCCTTCATCAAACTAGCAGTTGGGAGGGGGTTCGGCAGCTGAGATGGCACTTTTTGAACTTGCGTGCGTCTTGATTCAGAATCCTCGTGGGCAAGGCTTGGGAAAAGGGAGAAGAGGGAGCCGATAGTAATTGATAGCTCCTTGCCAAGCCTCCATCGCTGCTGGATATGCCTTTAAGGGGATAATACCAGGAGGTTGTTCCTGGAGAGTTGGGGGTGAGGCACCCCAAGATGTGCCAGTAATAGTAGCCTATGGAGAAATGTCCTCGTAGCCAGCCAGCTCTTCATGGTGGAATGGCAGAGCTGGAAGAGTTTGGAGCCCTCTTCTGTCCCAGCCCCACTACTTTGAGGTTGTTAACACCCTGAGCAAATTTTTGCTGAGCCTCAATGTTTCCATCTCTAAAACAGGAATAGTCCTCAAAAGGTTGTTTGGAAGATTAAAAGAAGTCTTACATGTGTACCACCTAGCACAGTGCCTGGCATGGAGTAAGCACTGAGCAGACAAGAAGTGGGCACTCACAAGTGCTAGTTAACCATCAGTGATAAAGCACTTGGGTTTTTCCCAGCTATTAACTACCCCTGGGACTCATTACTTCAGGCAGCACATGTACATACTTACTGCGTCTGTCTGGTAGGCAGGTGTTGAGGACCAAACACCTGCACAGCTCAGCAGACAGTGCAGTAAAATTAAATTTATAGAGTCAAGAGGGAACATGTTTTGGGGCCCTGGGAGAGCAGCCTGAGCCAGAAAGAAGGGTCATAACCCACAGAGAGACCCCCTCCCCCCATTAGCAACCTAACCCTCTCTGGGAGTCTTACCCACTGTGAACCAAGACGGTGGCTTCACAGTGGATTGCCTGGAGTGCTGAGCCCTTGGCCTTTTGCTGCTCCTATAAGTGGTGGGACAGGCAGGATATTCTTTTTTTTTTTTTTGAGACAGAGTCTCACTCTTTTGCCCGGGCTAGAGTGAGTGCCGTGGCGTCAGCCCAGCTCACAGCAACCTCAAACTCCTGGGCTCAAGCGATCCTCCTGCCTCAGCCCCCCGAGCAGCTGGGACTACAGGCATGCACCACCATGCCCGGCTAATTTTTTGTATATATTTTTAGTTGTCTAATTAATTTCTTTCCATTTTTAGTAGAGACGGGGTCTCGCTCTTGCTCAGGCTGGTCTCGAACTCCTGAGCTCAAACGATCCACTTACAGGCGTGAGCCACCGCGCCTGGCCCAGGCAGGATATTCTTAATCTCTTGGAATCAGTACTTTCTCTGCTGGCTCCTGGCCTGTGGAAATGCGGAGTATGTGCTCTTGGGGGCATGAGGGACTGAGGAAGGGGTAGCATCTGTGGGCCCTGGGGAAGGAAAGGAATATTGAATAGTGAGCAGTGTTTGTGCTCTGATTTTAGTTTCTGGGCCAAAAGCAGCATACCTGATAAAGACTCGTAAGTCTTTATGTTTCTGAGCTAGGGGAAGCAAAGAACAGCGATAGGATGCTGGTCCTGCCAACAGTGGAAAGGCTGGGGGAAACTGACATTTATTGAGCACTTAATCGGGCTCTTTGCAGCCTAATTCTTACTGTAACTGTATCTTATTCAACCTTTACAGCATCCTTGGGAGATGAGATCGGGAGGTAACAACAGCAGCCCAGTGCCAAGGGTTGACTAGTATATATCATTTCAGCCTCAAAGTCCTAATACGAAGCCTGTATTATCCCCACATATGCAGCAGGGCAGCTCAGACAAGTAATCTAAGATCATGTCACTTAAATGGCTGAGCTAGGATTTAGACCTGTGTCTGACTAAACATCTCAAGATGCCTTCCTTGATAAGTCTGTGTTAATTCATAGCTCACTGAAGGCAGTACTGTTTGTATCTACTCCCTGGTTTCTCCCACAGAACCAGGGCCATTAGTAGCTTATCCCCATCTGGCAGAAGCTGTGGGGTGGACTGTTTGCCTGAAGGGTAGAATGTTTGAAACCTGTTCGCCAGGCTAGAAAACAGGAAAGGCAGGGCTTGTCTGATTGCTCCTGTGCCTGTTACCCTGCAGCTGTGCCCCTTAGTCTGTATCCTCGCTCAGAAGCTCAGTTGTGTCCTACAATACATACTGGGTGACCCCTGTAGTTTGGTACTGTCCTTGTGCTGTCTCTCTTTCTAAACCCTTCTCCCCAGATCCTCCACTGGCCCTTCCTTTGCTGGAGGGTCTAGCTCAGCAGTCCAGCTTTCCCTTTTCACACTTCCTGAAGGATTTCATTGATGTCCTTGTTCCAGTGATCCTCCTTGGGCAGATAGCTCCCAGAATCTCATTTCAGGGCTGACTTTCCCCCTGAGTTTCAAGCCTGCATTTCCATTGCTGGAGGACATCTCTACCTTCATGATCTATCTCGGACTCCAAATAACCGAAACTGAACCTGACTGACCTCAAACCTGTTGCGATTCTTGTGTTCTCTATTTCTAGTGGTACTCATCCACCCAGTTCCCAGGCTAGGGAGCTTCGAAGTCAATTTTCATTCCTCAGTTAAGTCCTTTTGACTCCAGCTTTGCAATGGCTCTTGTAATCATCCCTTCTTCCTCCTCTCCCACTGATGTCATTTAAAACCCTTGTTACCTCTCACCCTGATAATGACAGCCAGCCTACTAACTGCTGTCTCTCTCTCTGATCTTTGCTTACCACTTTGAAAAATTTTCATGACACTCTATCTTATTTGCCTTTTGTCTCTGCAGGACCCTTGAACATCTGTGAAGAAATGACTATTCTGCATGGGGGCTTCCTGCTGGCAGAGCAGCTGTTCCACCCCAAAGCACTGGCAGAATTGACAAAGTCTGACTGGGAGCATGTTGGGCGGCCCATCATGGAGGCCTTGAGGGAGATCTCCTCAGCCACAGCACACGCCCAGTCCTTTTCCTGGAAGAAGAAAGCTCTGATCATCATCTGGGCCAAGGTTCTTCAGCCCTGCCCTGTTACCCCTTCTGACACTGAAACTCGGTGGCAGGAAGATGTGTTCTTCTCAGTAGGCAACATGATCCCTACGATCAACCACACAGTCCTTTTTGAGCTGCTCAAGTCCCTGGGAGCTTCTGAACTCTTTATTCAGCTCCTGATGGCTCTGCCCACCACCATCTGCCGCACAGAACTAGAGCGCTTTTTGGAGCACATGACTATTGACACTTCTTCGAAGGACGTGGCCTTCTTCCTGGATGTCTGGTGGGAAATGATGAAGCACAGGGGTGATCAGCAGGACCCCCTGCTCTCCCAGTTTAGGACTATGGCCCATAAGTACCTGCCCTCTTTGGATGAGTTCTCCCACCCTCCAAAGAGGTTCAAGTCTGACCCAGATGTGTGTCCTACCATGTCCCTGTTGGCCATGCTGCTGAATGGGCTGAAGCAAATCCAGGATAGGATCCTGGGCCCGGGAATGAAGTGCTGTGCATTAGCCAACCTGGCTGACATGCTGACCGTGTTCGCGCTGATGGAGGACGACCCCCAGGAAGTGTCTGCAACTATGTATCTGGACAAACTGGCCACAGTGATCTCTGTGTGGAATTCGGACACCCAGAACCCATACCACCAACAGGCGCTGGCCGAGAAGGTAAAGGAGGCAGAACGGGATGTCAGCCTGACCTCACTGGCCAAACTCCCGAGCGAGACCATTTTCGTGGGGTTTGAGTTCATGCACAGCCTGCTGCGGGAGTGGGGGGAGGAGCTGCAGGCCATGCTCAACAGCAGCCAGGGGACAAATTATGATAGCTTCCGGTTGTGTGACAGTCTGACTTCCTTCAGCCAGAACTTGAAGCTCTACCTGGACACTACCAGCTTGTCCAAGGAGGAGAGGCAGGTGGTCTCTGAGCTGGCAGATTGTGTCAGGGACTTCCTGAGGAAAACGAGCAGGGTCCTGAAGAACAAGGGCTTTGAGGACATCACTGCCTCCATTGCCATGGCCATTATTGAACAGAAAATGGACCGGCATATGGAAATGTGCTACATTTTTGCTTCTGAGAAGAAATGGGCCTTCTCAGACGAGTGGGTAGCCTGCCTAGTGAACAACACAGCTCTCTTCCGAGAGCCAGACTTGGTGTTAAGGCTGCTGGAAACGGTGATGGAAGTCAGCACGACTGACAGAGCCATCCCTGAATCTCAGATCAAACAAGTGACCGACTTGATCCTGGAATGTTACGCAGATCTCTCACTGCCAGATAAAAATAAAGTCCTCTCAGGTGTCCTGCATTCCTGGGGGCGCAAGGGCCTTTCTGAAAAGTTGTTGGCTTACTTGGAGGGTTTTCAGGAAGACCTCAATACAACTTTTAACCAGCTCACACAGAGTGCCTCTGAACAGGGCTTGGCTAAAGCTGTAGCTTCCATGGCCCGCCTGGTCATAGTGCACCCAGAAATCACAGTGAAGAAAATGTGCAGCATGGCCGTGATTAATCTCGGCACCCACAAGTTCCTGGCTCAGATTCTCACTGCCTTCCCTGCCCTCAGGTTTGTGGAAGAGCAAGGTCCAAATTCGTCCAGCACTTTCGTGGTGTCATGCCTCAAAGAAACTGTCTGGACAAAGTTCTCTACAGCCAAGGAAGAAAAGCAATTTTTGGAGCTCCTGAACTGCCTAATGAATCCTGTCAAGCCCCAGGGGATTCCAGTCGCTGCTCTTCTCGAGCCAGATGAGGTGCTGAAGGAATTTGTCCTGCCTTTCTTGATGCTAGATGTTGAAGAGGTAGACCTCAGTCTGAAGATCTTCATCCAGACTCTAGAAGCAAATGCGTGCTTGGAGGAATACTGGCTCCAGACCTGTTCCCCATTCCCACTCATCTTCAGCTTGTGTCAGCTCCTGGATAGCTTCAGCAAATACTGGCAGCTCCCCAAGAAGCGGTGCCTCCCTTTGGATAGAAAGGATCTAGTGATCCATATCCTAGAGCTCCTCTGTGAGATTGTATTAGCCAATGCCGAGACCTTCTCCCCAGATACCTGGATCAAGTCCCTGTCCTGGCTCCACCGGAAGTTGGAACAGCTAGACTGGACTGTGGGCCTGAGACTGAAGAACTTCTTTGAAGGTCACTTCAAGTGTGAGGTGCCAGCCACACTTTTTGAGATCTGTAAGCTTTCTGAAGATGCGTGGACCTCCCAGGCCCACCCAGGGTATGGGCCAGGCACAGGTCTGCTCGCCTGGATGGAGTGTTGCTGCATCTCCAGGAGCATCTCTGAGCAGATGCTGTCTCTCTTGGTGGTAGATGTGGGCAATCCTGAGGAGGTCAGATTGTTCAGCAAGGGCTTTCTGGTGGCCCTGGTGCAAGTCATGCCTTGGTGCAGCCCCCAAGAGTGGCAGTACCTTCTCCAGTTGACCAGGAGACTGTTGGAGAAACAGCTCCTACACGTTCCCTACAGCCTGGAGTATATTCAGTTTGTTCCTCTGCTCAACCTGAAGCCCTTCGCCCAGGAGCTCCAACTCTCTGTACTCTTCCTGAGAGTCTTCCAGTTTCTCTGCAGCCAGAGTTGTCATAATTGGCTTCCTGTGGAAGGCTGGAGCCAGGTGGTCAGACTCCTCTGTAGCAGTCTGACTAACATCCTGGACTCAGTTAGGTTGATTCAGTCAGTTGGCCCTTGGGCCCAAGGACAAGAACAGGATCTGACCCAGGAAACCCTGTTTGTTTATACCCAGGTGTTCTGTCATGTTTTGCACATCATGGCCATGCTCCACCCAGAGGTCTGTGAACCACTCTATGTTTTGGCCTTGGAAATCCTTACCTGCTATGAGACCCTGAGCAAGACCAACCCTTCCATTAGCTCCTTGCTCCAGAAGGTAAATGAGCAGCGCTTCTTAAAATCCATCGCTGAGAACATTAGCCCTGAGGAGCGGCGCCAAACCCTGCTGCAGAAGATCAGCAACTTCTGACCTTTGTAGGTCAGAAAAAAGCTGGGGTCTGTAGGGGCTGGAGCTGAGGAGCACACACTTCACACTTATGGGAAATTGTACACAAGATAAAAAGTATATGGCAATAAGGTTGGGGAGAAAATAGTTTCTTAGGTATTCATAACAAACTATAATAAAATTCTCTTTTGAGTTTCACCTTATCTCTTTGGAGTCTTTCTCAGCAGTAGCCTAGGATTAAATATGCTCAAGATCAACTCAAGCTTGGATATATTCATAACTGCACTTCACCCTAGATTTTGGCAAATAAACCCAAAGGTGAAACCACCCAAGTGTTAGAAACATTACAGGGTATGTGTGTTCTTTGACATTGAGACCCTCTTCAAGAGTCATTTCATCATTTTAATATTTTTCATGAGGTATCTCAGAAAGGGCAGCAACTTGGAAAAGAGATCTAGTCTAGCCCCGGTTCTGCCTCTGATTGGCCATGTGCTTTGTGTGCCCAAGAGACCTGCGCAATTATAGAAAGAGAGGATTGGACCAAGATAAACTAGGCGTTAAGGGGGTAGAATAATGACCTCAAGAAAATGAGTCCCTTCTGAATTGAGGCATGCCATACTCCTGGGCTCAAGCAATCCTCCCACCTCAGCTTCCCAGGTAGCTGGGACTAGAGGTGTACAACACCACACCCAGCTCCCGTACAGTCTTCACTCATTCACTGTACCTGGAGCGGGCTGTGCTAAGACTAGATCTGGCAAACACAGCAGACATGTGCTTAAAGGGTGAGTGGATTATCTTGTGCCTGCGATGGGGCTATTGTGGTGTGGATGAATGAGTGGGAAAAGAATGGTGTGTGTAGGAGCATAAAAATGAGAGTTTAAGGTGGTGGGGTATTAAACAACTATGAGAACTGGTTGGGGAGATGTTTTGAGAGATGAGGGAAGAGGACATGTCCTAGCACCTCCTTTATAGCCACACCTCTTTCAAAATAGGGTGTTACTCAGGTTCCCTTCTCCACCTGAATAAAGTAGGCTTGGCTGTGTGACCAGTAGTCAGGCGTCTACCCTCCCAACTCCTAACAGGATTCACTCCTGAAGAAAGGGCCTGTGACCACTGGGCTCGAACTCATAACCTTCAACATGTTCTTGGGACCGTGAGCCACAGAAACATGCTAGAGTGAGGTATGAGCTAGGCCATCCTGGAGGATGATAGCATTCACACACCCCCTACTCCCCCACTGCCAGTTACATGGATGTAAACACAGAGCAGGAACTAGCACACAGCAGCCAGTCAATACGGGTCACAGGACAGTTCTTACAGGTAAGCAGTATTGATGTATTTCACAAAGGATAATAAGTTGGGAAATATTAGTGCAATTTAATCACCATGGGGTGACTTATAAATATATACTGATATTAAAAACAAACAAAACAGTAAAAAAAATTGTAGCATTTTATGTTTTTTAAATGGCACCCATTAAAGACTGAAACAGTCAAAATTTGAGGCACTATTATAAATCATTCAGTCCTTAAAAAGTTCATGGACAATGAATTAAAAGGCACTTTAAAAATTCTAGTTTTTTACTACCACTTGAAAAAACATGGTAGCAGTCTCCGAAACCCATCCTTGTTAAGGAATGTTTAGTGTTGGCACCATCCTTGTTAAGGAATGATTAGTGCTGGCACCGGAGGATCCTATGTGCAAGTAGGGGTGAAGGTGTCAGTTCACAGGACACACTCTGGCCAGGTTGCTGCCGTCCTGCTCTCCAGCCTTCTGTGGCTAAATGGCAGTACACTCACATAGCAATGGGCTTTGGACCACAAGCTCTGTCTTTTCAGGAGGCTCTGGGAAAAGCACTCCGCAGTCTAGATGAGGCTCCTCACGGTTTGGAGTATAGAAGTCCATTTCCACTTCATATGAAAAGGACAGTGCCAAAGAGTGGGGTTACCCAGTAAATAGCTACCAAAGCCATCGTTTCACTTTGCCCCTCTAGTTTTTATGAGAGCACCGTATGCACGTAGATATGGGGAAAGCTGGGCCTGCGGGGACGTGCTAAAAAGGGACTAGTATTTATGACTGCTTGCAACAAGCTCACAAATTTCACATGGTCTTTTTACCAAGTCCGCCTGCAAAGGTGGTGCTGACCTCTATTGGCTTCCCTACCTACTCAAGTGCTTCGGGTTCCCAACCCTGCCTCCTACCCTGCTGCCAGTGGGACTTCTGATTGGAAGTCAGTAAACATGAGAATTCAATGTTGACATGGATGAGAGGATAAGGCAAAGAACCAGTGGGTCATCTGGTAAACAACAAAAACTACCTACCCACAATGATTTTCCTAGGCCAACAGCGCAAGAAGACACTACTTCAAGAGCTAAGTCATCACTTGCTTCTGCTGGCCCAGTACCACAGGTACTGCCCTGAGTTGTTGGGAATGTGGGTGGCTGCTAATGTTAGGGCCAGGCAGGTGCCCAGACACTTAACACCCTGATCCACCAATCTCTACAGCCCGTGCTCCTAACTCCCAGAGCTCTTGAGATAAGACCCAGGGAAGATCCTTGGGCTTGCTTTAAAACCACCTTGCTGCTGGTAGAGGTCTGACAGGATCCAATAGTTGTTACTAAAAAAAAAAAAAGTGCTTTTGCAAAAGGGACAGGTTAGAAGAGGGAGGGAATAGGAATATTCTTTAGAAAAACTCAAATCCATCTGCTTATCAATATCCAAAAGGCTGAGCCCACCCAGGGCACAATTTGGTCCGTGGAATACCGAGTGGAGGAGGCACCCTCACTGCCTGACTCCTGGAAGCATTTAACCATCCTTTTTGGCTTGGGGAGTGTCAAAGAGCCGGGCTGCCTTCCTGCACAGCAGACAGAACCAGTAGATCTGAGGAGCGATGAGGAAGGCATTGGCCACATTGCAGAAGAAGGGAATATTGAATGGCACCTGGAGCAGGCTCAGTCCCTGCTGTTGGCCATAGGACCAGTACATGAAGGGGAAGAGAAGGATCCGACAGGAGAAGAAGGTGGCCAGTGTGAGGATTCCGTTCACCTTGTATAGAAGGGTGTGCTGCTGCTTTAGCTGCAAAAGAAGGGGAAGGAGAACACAAGGTCACCAGGAGGTATGACACTCCACCGCTAATCAGGGAATGACGAGTCCGAGTCCCACAACAGTAAAGGCCAAGCAGGTAAGTGTACTAATCAAGACCTAGGGTATCAAATTTCTTGACACCTAGACATTGGTCTAATTTACTGACAACTTGTAGAAGACATTATTGAGCACTGTCTTATTTACTTATTTATTTTAGAGACAGGGTCTTGCTCTGTCTCCCAGGCTGGAGTGCAGTGGCACAATCATAGCTCACTGTAACCTCGAACTCCTGGGTTCAAGTGATCCTCCCACCTCAGCCTCCTGAGGAGCTGGGACCACAGGCACATGCCACCATGCCTAGGACTATCACGTTTATATCTACACATAGCCTCATAATTTTTCCAATAATGATGTTGAATCTTGCCTACCTAAGCCACCCAGCTGACAGGAGTACAGGAATAGTGAATTACAGAAAAATATGTGGCCAGGGAAAAAATATAATTAACTGTATGAAACTTGGATCAAATCTACAATTTAATCCCACTGCCTGAAGTCTGTTGGAGGGTCTCCCATCCCACTATTCCTAGCACGAAGGGATTTCTCCAAACCCGACAGTCTCCAAATGAAAAGCACAGCCCGTTCCCTCCTGTACTATTTCTGCCGTTTCATACATACGTACGTGAATCAGAATTCTGCCCAGCGACACAAATGGAGTGCTCAGTTCTGCTGTGAAGATGCAGCCGACAAAGAAGTCCCCAAGGTCTCCCCGGAGCCTCTGCAGATGAAAAGAGAAAAATGGGAAATAAGTAGAGATTAAGAAACCACCGGAAAGAAAATTCTAACTGGGGCTATTGAAAAGGGTAACCATGAGGGACCCTAAAGGGAAAAGGAAATGCTAAATAGGCAAGTGCAGACCCAGTTAATATTCCACTGCTTCCATAGCAATAGCGTTTTGATGGTCCAGTCCCTCGGATCCAGAGGCAAATTCAGATAGGCTGATTGTATCACACACCAAGTTTTCTCTGAATTTTGATTACATCGGGAAGAAACTCTGTAGCCTACTTTTGTGTATCTAACTTAGTCATGCCAAGGGCACTTAGCCTGCTCATTTCAACAAAATATGTGCCAGGGCCCTATGCTCGATGTTAGGGTCCCAAAGCAGTCAAGAGATTTCTTAAAGAATTTAGTGCACTCTACCACTCCTTTTTTCTTTTCAAGAAAGGAGTATGGCATAGTAGAATACCAGCTCCATCACTCAGTACCACTGACTGAGCTAAGTAAATTCCTAGAGCCTCAATTTCTTCATCTACAGTATGAGGCTAATAATTTCTACTATTTAGCAAGCTATGAGATTTTTTCTTTTTTTTTTTGAGACAGAGTCTCACTCTTTTGCCCGGGCTAGAGTGAGTGCCGTGGCGTCAGCCTAGCTCACAGCAACCTCAAACTCCTGGGCTCAAGCGATCCTTCTGCCTCAGCCTCCCGAGTAGCTGGGACTACAGGCATGCGCCACCATGCCCGGCTAATTTCTCTATATATTTTTAGTTGTCCAATTAATTTCTTTCTATTTTTAGTAGAGACGGGGTCTCGCTCTTGCTCAGGCTGGTTTCGAACTCCTGAGCTCAAACAATCCGCCCGCCTCGGCCTCCCAGAGAGCTAGGATTACAGGCGTGAGCCACCGCGCCCGGCCGAAGCTATGAGATTTTAAATCAAGTGCCTGCCACTTGGTAGGCACTTGGGAATCTTGAATTTCCCCTCTGCATTCCCATTTCTCTTCCTTGTTGAGTGGGGTTTTATGGGGAAACGGATCTGGGGAAAGTTATGAGGCTATTTGCTTTAAGTGTTTTTGTGACATCAGAATAATGCACATAGTACCTGCTGGCACTGTTAGGAAACTGTTATTTTGTGTTATATTTTATGTTTTTATAATATATTGAACTAAAGACAGAATATTTGACAAATGTTAAGGAATCATGGAGGGCTGGGGCATTTCTAGAAAGAATAATGCTGGCAAGGAGGATCATGAACATTTCAGACTTCATTATTTTCCT